TGGATCGTTACACACATAATTGAAAAATCAGTTTCTATCTTCCATTAGCGTTTGTGCAAAGTTGAATATATCAGAATTCGTTAACTTCTAACGTTTATCGGGAAAAGCTCGTCTCCATCGTCGACGTTCGAGGCGAACCTTATAAAGTATCCTGTATAACGAGACTTCGCGAAAGTTTTCTCGCCTAAAGATAGCGAGCGAGAGATAACGAGCGCCGGCAGGACAACTCTGTTGTAATTGCTGTGTCGGATTGGATTAGATGGCAGGATAATTGGATATCGTGGGGGCCCGTCGATAATATAATGCAGTCTCTAACGAGAGCTTCGCGCTCTCTATCGCTCCAAGCTCGCCATATGTAACTGTAAATGTCGGTTTTCACGACGACTGGACTCGGTAATGAAAGTCGAGCGAGTCAGCCGGCCCTTCCTACGCACGGCGGTTTTATAGTGATCGACTATTCCTGGACTCGGGTCGTCTCGTGAATCAACTTTGTGGCTGAAAATATAGTATAGTATACCATACCAGCCTGAGCGGAAGTGCGTGCATAGGTGCATAGGTGTACCCTGTCCGCCGATGAGGAATGGTATCCAACGATGATATTTCAACAGAGACAGGTCTGAATTCTAAGAGAGGCGAGTGTACATGGGCTTATTTCACGAAATTATACTTCACAGCTTGCTTCACCTAACAATTGAAACCAATGATCAATGATCCGTGATAAATCTGTATACATATATCGAGAAAATTCTGCATTCAAGACTTTTTGATTCAAGAATATGTAGACTCGATTTTAAATATGCAAGGTCGTAAATCTTGAATGTTGAAAATTTTAGATTAAATTCTAGATATTTTTTTTCATAATTGATTGTCTATTCAACTGACAAGCGGGGGCGGAAGGAAAAAATTGAGCGTTCGCGTAATCAGATGCTGACGTCACCGCGATGATTTCATCCGCGTTTGCAATGCACGTGTCGTGAAATTGCGTTCGTGAGCAGAAACATAATCGTTGCAGGAACGGCAGTTTTAACCCTTGCCAGTGATTTCACTTTCGAACTATATCTACAACATCTTCCTTTGAATACAACTCGAACAATACTGTTAATGTCGAGAGAGGTAGTTTCAAAAAGTCGGTTTACGAGATTAAGCTTGTATTCATTCTCTCTCTCTCTCTTTCTCTGTCTTTCTCTTTTTCTTTCTCTCGATTGATAGAGCTTAAAGTTCACGCCTAATAATCGTGATGTGAGCGATATTCGATTTCTTCATCCGATAAAAATATACGACACGGTACAGCATCTGGCAATGAGGCAAGTATTCGTGTAAATGTTTCTCGACGAGCATGGCAGTCGATGATGTCATTTGCCGATCATTTCGTATACGTAAGCCACTCATATTCTAGTCGTAACTATAATCGTTCGGAAAAGTTGCGTCATTTCATCACCGTAAAACGTCAAATTCTCACGAGAATAAATTCTTGTCAGTCACACGTGCCAAGTTCTTGTCGTATTTTGCGATAAAATATTATATTATCTATAAAATATCGTATAATGAATACATATATACTACATAGTTGGAAAATTTGTTTTCTTCTTAAAGCATATGCCGGTTAAAATTTTTGTGTTAAATATTTAACATATTCATGCGTTAATTTAACATAATGCTGTTGTGTTAATCGAATTCAAGAACACAAATGTTAAATTATCAGAACAAAGTGTAAAAATGAAAAAAATCACACAATGTGCACAGATTTTTAGTTTTACATAATAAATATGTTCCGTTTTATCAGTAACAGGATTTATTTGTTACAATTTACAGAAAAAATATGGATTTTATTCTATAATGCACGAGTGAAAGTGACAATAGATCGTAAATAATTGTTTTCCTAAGTTAATTTTATCATTAACAATATATTGATTTTTTTATATAAAATTTATTTGAAATTACTATGAAATTTGCATTTATTTTGTGTTAAAATAGTAATTAATTATTATTAATTATTATTGTATGTATAATATTAGTGTCACCATTTAATATATCCATATTATGTTAAATTAATATAAAAGTTTGTGTGGACTGTTTGGAACATGCGATATATGTTTTTAAGCCAAATTTTCCGACTGTATATACATATAATAAGAATTATTTTTTCTTTCAAATTATTCATTTTATAAAAATTAAGAGTTTGATTTTCCTTTCTTTGATTTTAATCTTCATTTTTTTATATTTACTTGTACAATTCTTGCAAATCAAACATGAAGAATTATTTTATAAAAGTGTTTTCTCTCTCGTATTAATTGATGCATCTGTATTATGCATCTGTTTTATGTACCCTCGATTATATCAACATTTCGGATACTCGAAAGAGCAGATTTATCGCGAGACGTCTGCGCTTCGTCTGCATTATGCGAGCGGCGGGATTTATTTCGTTCTCGAGGCGAAGCCTGTTTCGGTCGTGCAGCACGAGGATGCTGCACCGTGTGCGAGCGCAACTGCAGGGCATGCAAATTTATCAATTTAACGCCCCGGCGTACTCAACCGCATTGCATCATTGCGCCATAATCGCGACGGAACCGGCGGCCATCGTTGCGCATAATTCGTCGTCGTGCCATATTTTCACGTCTCCCACATTAAAAATAATTTTTTTTATTTGATAATAAAAACATATTTTGCTTTTATTTTATATATTTTACTAATTTAAATATAATTGCTGCTTGATTGAAATAAGTAATTCCTCTGCAAGTATTTAAATAAGTAAATTTTTTAAATAAAAAAAAATGTCTTTGGATTTACTACATTTTTCTCAGTGTAAATATGCATGAAATGGACGAAACTAAACTAGGTCAATATATAATATTTTGTCAATATAACTCTATTTTTATATTGTTTTCTTTTTCTCTCGATTTATACAATAATAATTCTGTAAAATTTACTTCTGTAAACGAAGATGTCTCAATTTTGGATATACATTTGTATATTCATCCACGCGATTATTTAATGTTATTGCTTCTAACTCTTCATTTTAATATTATTACTCAATATTATACCTATTTGCTTTAATATTATCTTTAATAATACCATTGCTCTGAATCCGTCATGGTATTTTTGAAAATCTTGATAGTGCGGAATGAATAATCGAGTACCTTTGAGTTTCTTGCTCTCCTTTATCAGAAACTCAGACGGCGCCCGTTTGTCATGCAAATAAAAACATGGTCACGCGTTTGCCTCCATGCGACCTTGGCACAAGGTAGTGACTCACGCAGGTGATAAGTGCAATCGAGTTATCGCGCGACGGTTGCCCGAGCGTAGAGTAATTGTGCGGATAAGCTAGGCTCTTATGTAATTCTCTGATGCACCACAGAGTTCTCTCTCTCTCTCTCTCTCTTTTTCTTTCTCTTTCTCTTTCTCTCTGCGAGTACACCTGCGACATGCTGGTTTTCTTATCACGCGTGTAGCTTCAGAGATATTGGCTTGCTGAGTCTTATTTTACAAAAGCCAGTCTTATCGGGACATCATGCGCGCGCGATATCAAACTTGAGTGTCATCTCGTCTGCAAATCGCATATCTTACATAACTGTATAGGAATTGTTATACAGGGTGATTCTAAATAAGTGCGAAAAATTTTAAGAGATGATTTTTTATCGAAAATTAAGGGGGTCGTTCAAAGGGGGCGTTAAAAATTAGGCTTTTATTTATTATAATTTTGTGTTGTTTTGTTCCATTTTTTTCCAACATTTACTATAATTTTGTTTTACTTGCTTTTTTTATTCTAAAATTCAACTTCTCGTAACTCGAAACCTATGCCATTTAGCATCATGCTGTGCATGATGATGTATTTTTTTTTTTTTCTTGAGAACTATTGATTTTACGAAAAAAATAAAAGAAATAAAAAAGTTTCTAAAGGAATCAAGCTTTCTAACGCATATTTTTGGATGATCACATTCCGGCCCGTTAAAAAGTTCCAATTAAAAATTGATTAAGGGTTGCTAGTTTCACTTTCTTATAACGAGACGGGAGGATTAAAAGAATATTAATAAGTATCCTTTTTATTAATGGAAAATATCCACTAAATTTTATTTTTTTAACTTGTCCAAAATCTAAGAAAAAAAATTAAGACCTAATTTTAACCTCCCCCTTTAGAGGAGTGTAACTCCTCAGGAAGGGATATAGGAGTATATGTTTATATGAAAGACTCTCCTTAATTTTCGACAAAGAATCATCTTTTAAAATTTCTCGCACTTATTTAGAAGCACCCTGTATATAGAATGATTTTATTTAAATAAAATTTAACTTCCGAATCAGCTTTCGAGCTTAAAGTGGTTGGTGAAGTCGCAACTTTTCTTTTCGCTGAAGCAAATCTCTTCAGGGACAGCATTTATTTCTCGGGGCATGTCGGTATAAGTCATTGCCCTCGGCTCGTCCGTTCTCGAGTTTCCACGCCCGCGTATGCGTGATCGTCACCTGTTCGCGAAAACAGGTGCCCATTCAAGCGAGAGACGAGATCGTTTCCTCCTCCCGTTTCCCTCGCTTTTCCCCGCTTTGAGGGGTGAAAAAAAAATCTCATCGCTGCTTCGCGACGACGTAAACGTCCTCTTTATTCTCGACTAATAGGTTCTTCGGAAAATGCTTTGTCGTTCCTAGACCATCTAGCTTATTCAGTATCAGAAGCTATATGGATAGTATTCACAGTCACGGACGACATCTAGTAGTTATAGTAAAATGCGAGCTTAAGATTTTCAAAAACATCCTTTTACATCTGGTTTTTTGAAGATAGTCGTAAAATTAAAGGGTAATTGAAATTACTTTGATGATTTCAAAGCAAAATTTTGAAGAAACTGTAAATTTTATATCAAAAGTATCTAATATTTTGTACATAGTTTTTATAAAAATATGTTTCCATAAAATAATTTTGTAAAAATGTAAAGATTTTATAGATATTGTTAGAAAAATAATTTATTGAAGAAGTTAATGAGATATTCTAACCGATGCACAAATTGCAATTTCAGGTAGTGATACTACTCTACCGATGCTACTTTACCGAGGAGACACTCCAGACATCGTTACTTCGAGTACTTCTTAGCGCGAACGTGAGTACATCAAATATGAATTATTTTGCATTTTATCCATGATAAAAATCAATCCCCTTCGCGCCAAATTGCCTTATATCAACGTGAAAATTATTAGAATTAAAGACTTTGCATTTTTTGTTCTTTTAACGGTAGAAATTTATTTAAAGAAATATACGTAGAGAATTTTCACACCTTTGTACATTTCATGAATACTAGATGCGATTGAGAAAGACATCGCTTGACATTATAAGAAACGTAAAGTCGGTTAAAGGGTCAACTGGCCGCAAGCCCGCCTTGGAAACAGTCTCGCGAGCGCAGCCTCGAAATATCTGTGACCGTGATTTGCCGAAGGAAAATCGAGTTCGTTCAGGTGTTCGGTAAAGTCGCGTAACGGGAGCAGCGGATGGGAGCCGATTCAGCCATGAAATTCTTCACGCACGGAAGGGCTGCGGGGCTCTTTAAACCAAGCGGGGGATTCGCATGGGAAAGGAGCAGGTTGAATGACTACTATCGCAACTCGCAATGGCGTTCGCCACGATAAATGCACCTGTAGTTTAGCTGCACGCGCGATGCGATCGAGCGTTTCGGTTCCGCGGAGAACTTCGGGAAATATCGCAAATTTACGAGGGGATAAGGGGGTGTAATTTATATGTACGTATATTTACTCCCTTTTTTAGAAACGGTTGCAAAATAGGCGCGTCAAAATTCCACGTCACTAAGAAATTATTAAAAGATAGTAATTATGAGACAATTATTTTTGAGGCTAGTTTTTATTTACATTAATTAATTAAGAAAATTAAATTAAATCAATTAAAAAATTTTTTATTTATAAGTGATATTATAAAAATTATTATTACTATATTTACAAATTATTTA